TTATTTGGGAAGCACTAGGGGTATAGGTGAGAGGAATGGAGAGGAAATGCACAACCATCATATCCTGTTATACCTAATATTAGTTAGGTCTAACCACAATATAAGGGCTAAAGAAATGGTTGAGCCCTAGAGAGCTGTGTCAGAGGAAAAGAGCCCCAAGAGTAAGAAGGTTAGGTATGGAGGAGGCCCTGAAGGTTTCATTGTTAAGATGAGGTTACTTGGGAGGTAATCACAGAGAACAGAATAAGCATAAATAAGCTTCAACTAGAATAGGAAAGCAGGACACACTTTTAGACTATGCTAGTTATGAGACCCTGGAAAAGGTGGTAAGGCAGTTAAGGTATTGCCTTTCTTGGAGTTCTCTCTAGCTTTGGTGAAAGCCATTGGAACGGTGTTATTCTGTTTAAGTGGTTAGCAGGATGAGTTGGACTGGATGACCTCTGGAGGGCTTGGCCAGCCTGGTGGTAGGTAGGCTGAGAATCCTGTGATGAATCCTCAGCCCTTCCCTTTTCCACACCCCACCCTCAACTCCCACCTCCTCTTCCCCCACCACATGCCCAAGGGTACCACCAGGACTCACACTCCAGGGCCTCTCCATGCCCAGGTTGTAGTGTCCTAAGGGAGAAGCAGAGATTAGGAATGAGAGGAAAGGCTTGCTCATTCTTTCCAGAAACTGCCCCTCCTCCAGACTCTGCCAGCTCTGCCCCTTCTACCCAGCTTATGCACAAGTTCTTCCATGATGAGGGTGATGATTGGCCCCTTTCCCATATTAGGGCAGATTCAAGCTCTTTTCATCTTCACACCTTCTTGGATTCAGACTCACCAGGCTGTTGGGATATCGGATGAGGACAGGCTGTACAGGCACCCCTGCGATGAAAGCTCCTAAACCCCATGCCCAACACCCAAAATAAAGATTAGTGTGTATGGGGGAAGAAGGGATGGAGGGTCAGGACAACCCCCAACAAAGTCTTCTATTCTAGGTCACTTCTAACAACCTGAGAGCTTGACTTTTTTTTTTTTTTTTTACTATTATCTAAAGGTCATCATGGGTTCTCTGGACCACTTGACTCCCTCCCCTGGAATTCTGAGTCTCCTCCCTGCCCCCAAACTGCTTCTCAACTGTTATGCTTACTTTTTCTCTAGTTCTACTTCTACCTCCACCCCACCTCCACTCCCTGTTCACCTGGTTTGAATTTGAGCAAGGCTTTCTTGTTGGAACAGGTGCCCTCAGGAAAAAACAGCACCTAAAAAGTACAATAGGGAAGCAGTATGGGAATGGAGATGAGAAGGAGGGAAGAGATGGCTGTGTGTTCTGAAAAGGCATCTCCAAGGGACACAAGAGATGGCTAGGTAGCTTCCTGTGACTCCTTTGGAGATTTTTTCCCCTGCACTTCTTGGGGTTACCTCCCAGCATTCTATGAGAGGCTTTACTAGAAGTGGCTCCTGACTCCTATTTCATGCAGAAGCCCACCACTCCTATGTCCTAAAGTTCATGCATAACCATGTCATGCCTTTTTTCCAGGAAGAGGGGGTAGAGTGAGGACCAAGAGTATTGGTGATATTCTAGCTGCTGATGTTGGAATGGAGAAACTGGAAAGCGGTATATTGGGAAGTGGCTTCTTTATAAATGTAGCAGGAGAGAGACTCAGAAGGGGTCATAGAACCTGGACCTACCTGAGGCCACTTGCCTTTTGAAGTTGCCCGCCTTCGAACCTCTTCTACCACCTTTCTTCGAGAAGCAGGGTCATGCCGGGACACTAGGATGGCTTGGTTGAAACGAAGAAGTGCTGGGGGGGTGGGTGGAAAGGGGGAAGATGCAGAAGTAAAAAAACAGTGGGGTTGATCATGTTTTAGAATCATGGAATTTTAGGGATGGAAAACATCTAAGAGACTATCTGGCTCAACCCCCTCATTTAGATAGCGAAAATGAAACAGGGCAAGAGACATTAAGTAACATGTCCAGAGGGCAGGAGACTGGTAAATAGCAGGAGAACCAGAACTAGCACCCAGTTTTCTAGCTCCAGGCCCAAACCTGGAGGTGTTCTTATGCATTGTTTCCCATACCTCAAGTGTCTTCTAATTTGTGCTTGGAAGGCAACCAAATTACTTATCCCAGGATTATGTCCAACACCCTCATTTTACAGATGAGGAAACTGAGGAAGACAGAAGTGAAGTGACTTGCCTAGGGTTACACAGCTATCTGAGGTGAGATTTGAATCCTGGTCTTCCTGAGTCCAAGTCCAGTGCTCTACCCATTATATCATACTACTGTCTTTATTACTATCTTGGGTTAAGGATTTCCCCTTGTGTTCTCTCATCCTTGTCTTACTCATTGTTCTGAGACTCTGAATCCTCACTCTGCTACTTACTATCAGTGTTACTTAAGGCAAGTCACTTTTCCTCCATGGGTTTCAGTTTCCTCATGTATTGGACTAGGTATTTTTAAGATACTTCTAACTCCAATTATTCTGATAAAGAGAGGCCAAGCAGTAATTTACAAAATGTTGCTAATTTGCATGTCACTGTCAACACAGACCCAAGTGGCCCTTTCTCCCTTGTGAATCCAGGCCAGTTTTCCTTAGAGTCTTCCCAATCCCTGGTTCTTTCCATCCAGCTGTCTTCTGCCACCCCCCCCCCCCCCCTTCTCCTTCAAACCTAGTGTGCTCTTACCTCCAATGACTGGTACAGAGAGGTTCTCAGCTCGGGATACAACCTTGGGTAGGTCACAGGGCAACAGAACAATGGGGTCAAAGAAGGTCGAATGGGGAGCAGCAACCAGGACAGGTGCCTCGAGGCATGAGGCACGATGACCTCGAACCCGGATTCGCAGGAAGCCCAGAAGGAAAAAGAGTAGCCGACTCAGGCCTAGTACCCCACTGTGACAGATTGTCCTGTACAAGGTAAGTCTGGGTATCAGTAGGGCAAATCTACTCACCTTCACCCATCCCTTGGTCCCTGATACCTAGGCAAGTATCACTGTATTATCCCTACTAGGCTTCTCTCTCTCCTCCCCTTCCCCCCCCCCCCCCCCCCAGGAATCCTGGCTAAGAACAGTCAAGGTTCTAGGCTAGGAGATCTCATTCTGATGCTAAAACTTCTGGGAAAAGAATAGAGTCTGACAATCTTGTCATGTGACCCAATACACTTACAGCATCCCATTTTAGAGATGGTGTCCCAGGTAGCAGGAGTGGATCAGAAAAACATTCCACCCACAGGGTTTTAAACCCACCAATGGATTCTAGTGCTCTACCCACATTCTCTACCCACTATGTTTTCTTTCTTTCAAAGAAGAAAGGGGTGGGTAGCAAGGAAGAATAAAGGGCTCTGGAACGGAATAGCCATTGCTATTTGTCTCCTGCTTTCTCACTTACTTCCTCCATCTTGTGATTGGCTCCTGCAGCTGCTCCTCGGTGAGACCAGCCACTTGAAGCCAGGCAAAGGGCCAGAGGAGAAAGAGGACGAGGAAGGCCAGCAGCACTCGAATGGGGGCCAGTAGTGCCCCCAGCAGGCAGAACTGGGGACAATGGGAAGGGGGTAGGGCTATCAGAACTTGGAACACCTTCTTACACAGCCTACTCATTTTCTTAGGGATGGAAGCAGGGCCAGAGAGGTTCCCCCTTTCTCCTGACAGAGTAAAGGGTGACACGGTTGATATGGTTAGAGATAGGATATACTGGGGAGGAGAGGGGAATTTGGGAAAGTTAAGGAGATAGGCCAAACTAGGAGAAGGGAGAGAAAATTCCAATTCTATTTAAGACTTTATAGTTCTATGGCCAAAAAAAGATAATGGATGTAAAAACACTTACATATTTAAAGTGTTATGCAAATATAAGATTATTATCTGGATTAATGAATCAAACTGGGGAAGAGAGTGGGTTGAAAGAAGGATGGAAGGGGGAGAGAGTATCTGCACGGAATAAGGGCAGTGAAGACCCCGATGAGAACAGGAACATAAAAGACTATGCAGGATCAGAGCTCCACTTTTCCTGCCTTTCAGCCCCCCACCCCAACCCATATGTAGCTCAACTATCCACAGAGCTCCCTGAGCACCCTCTTCTCTCTTATTTGGGATGGAGGATGAATTTGGAGGACATATTGGCATAGTATTCATCTCTTTCCGGTTTCCCAAGTTGTTTAACAGTAATACCCTGGGATGGGGGAGGGGAGGGGATTGGGGCCCAGAATAGAGAGGTAGTGTTAGAGTTGCCAGGAGCCTGGGTTACTCTGGCAGTAACCCTGGGGAGGTAGCAGGTAAACAAATCCTGCCTCTAGAGCCTAACCCTGGGAGTAGAAATTACAGTCAAGCCTATTTGCCCCTTTCCTAGTTCTCAACCTTTTGACCTGTCTGAGGTTGCCCTCCTTTTCCTGCAGCTATTCCCCCCCCCCCAAAGTGCTGCAGTGCAGGGGATTGGGGGGAGGTGGGAAGGGCATAGGGACATAGGCAGGGGCAACCCGATAGTCTTCTCCTCTAAGCCAGTTTCCCAGGTGGAACATTCAACATCCCCACCCAAGTTCCTTTTAACCTCCTAACTCCAACCTCAGAGTCCTCAGTAGCTTTAGGATGCTATCTTCATCTCTCTCAGTGTCCTCCATCTGTTCTAGTCTCTCTGGGTCTGTTTTTGGTTCTTCATCATCACTTTCCTAATTCTTCCAGTCCTCCATTTATTATATCTGGCTACTTTGGTATCCTTTATCCCCTAGACGTTCCATCCCCATGGTACCATCCCCCCAACCATTCTCCCATATTCCCTACCGCCAAGGCTCATCTTTCCCAGTTGCCAACTTCCATCTCCCCCAGGGCCCAAATGTCCCACATGTCCCCATCTCCATTAGTTCTTCCTGCTTGCCTCATCCAATCTCCCCTATGCTTCCCCAGTCCACACCTCACCTTGACCCTCTGAAGGCGGGAGAGGTGCAGCTCATGCACGAAGGGATTAGGTGGTGGTGAGGGCCCGGGGGTAGGGTCAAGGGGAACCCAGTCCCCCGGGCTGCCCTGGCTCATGATTTCAGGAGGCTGGGGGCCTCAGTCCCGGCCCGGGCCCCAGCTCTGCAGAGCGTCTGCCTGTGGTGGCGGTTGCTGCTGCTGCTGCTGCTGCTGCGGTGGTGGTGGTGGCGGCAGCGACTCTGGCCCCAGGCCCAGCCTGATGCTGGGTGGAGAGAAGAAGGGAGGGGGAGAGGAGCGCGGAACGAGCCCAGCGTTGTCAGGGCTCGGGGAAGGGGCGGAGCTTCCCGCTTTGGGGAGTCAGAGCTCCCCCACACCCTCCTCCTGCATCCTCCCTAGCCACCCCCCCCCCCACAGTCTGTCTCCCGCCCCAATTCCCAGGGCCATTGTTCCGCAGAAGCCGGATGCTCTTCGGAATGCTCAGCTCCCGCCTGGTCCTTTACTTTTCCTACAGCTCTAGGCCTTCTGCTCTTCCTTCTCTTCCTTCCCCTGCAGCCTTCTCCCCCTCCCACTGCTTCTTCTCCACCTCCTTTCCCTCTCATCCGCCCCCAACCTCGGTCCTTTCCTTCTAGGGCTTCACTATTCTGGCGCCTGGCCTTAGTCTGGAGGAAGGTGTGGGTGAATGGGGGTGGCAAGCTTCATGGTGAGGGGCTAAGGATGGGGGGATGGAGGGTGGGGAGCGTCTTGGGGATGGAGAGGCTGGAAGGTCCCACCCTCTCAATTCAGAGCTACGAGGTTTGGAGAAGATTTAAGTTGGGACCCTTGGAGATGACAAGAAATGGGGATAAACTAGGAGAAGCCTAGGACAAGGAGTCACAGATTCTAAAATGAAGGGTAAGAGACCACCCCCGCCCATCCTCTCCTGGCTCCAGAGGACACTCTGCTTTCTCGCCCATGCCCGCTTTCCTTTAATCACACGAGGAGAGTTAACTTCATAGCTCCAGTCTGCCGCCCTCTGGTGGTCTCTAACGCCTCCAGCCCTCCTTGGCAATATTTCTTTTCTCTATCCCCCGTCCCAACTGTAATTTGGGGAGTTTCTGTATTCCTGAGATGCCCCAGATTCCCATAAGGCCTGTAATTCATTTGCTCTTAGTTGTTTGAATAAGTAAACTTTGAGCTTGATTTTTAAGGAGGAGTTGATAGGGTCCAACGTTTCTGAGAGAAAGGGCAGCCGCTCCTTAAAAATCAAGCTCAAAGTTTACCTGTTCTAAGACATCTTTCCAACCTAGCAATCAGGTACTTACATTTACCCAGGCCAGGACAGACCAGTGTTTTCCTCCCCGACTAAACCTCCTTCCTCTCCCCCCCCAACCACCCAAGAGAGGTATAGGTACATTTTTGTCTGAGACTACAAGTCCACTTAGTTTGTACGGCCTTTCAACTTCTCCTTGAGGCACTGCGGCTCCATGCTGGCTGTAGCCACCTCCTGCAGCCCCTCCTAAGAAACACTTCAGGAAAGGCGGTTGCATCCCTCCTCTTTCCTCCCAAGTAATAAGTAAGTGCCTTTTAGGACAAAGACTGCCTTTGCATATTCATTAACTTGCACAATGCCCTTCACTTAGTAGGTACTTCGTTGATGACCTTAGCGCCTCTGTTGCAGCCACTAGTTCTTTCTCTCTGCACGCTAGAAAGAAGACTTGACTGGCCACTAGGTGAAGTAGTGCTGCACTTGGAGTTAGGTACACCTGTGTTGAAATCCTGCCTCAGACACTTACTTGCTATGTGACCCTGGGCAAGTCACAACCCCTCTGTTTCTGTTTCTAAAGCTTTAAACTGGGGATAAGAATAGCACCTAACTCACAAAATTGTTTTGAGAATAAAATAACATTTAAAGCACTTTGTTACTATTATCAGTCAACATAGTGACTTAAACGATTATATCATTTAAGACTAGATATTGTTTATATGTATTTTTAAACATTTTTTTAAGAGAAGAGGATTCCTTTAGCCTATCTCAACTACATTACATAACTATATAACACTCTTTTCCTGTTAGAAAATCTATTATAGGATTTAAACCCCACCCTTTTTATTGTAGTATCTTGTTCATTTTCTTCAGTTCTTGTCTCAATAGAGATGGAGAATGGTTGGATGGGGTCAGGCTTAACCACAGGAGAAACTCATAGCCCTTATTTATCTAGCACTAATGTTGTATGGGTGGGAGGCCACAGAATAATCATTATCCCACGCCACTTAAGAGCTATTCTCTGGACTTACATGAACTGATGCTGAGTGAAGTGAGCAGAACCAGGAGGACTTTGTACACAGTAACAGCAACATTGTCTGATGATCAACTATGATAGGCTTAGCTCTTCTCAGCAATGCAATGCTCCAAGACAATTCCAAAAGATTAGTGATGAAAATGCTGTCTACATCCAGACAAGGAACTATGGAATCTGAATGCTGATCTAAGCATACTATTTTCATTTTTTTTTCTTATGGTTTTTCCCCTTTTGTTCTGGTTGTTCTTTCACAACATGACTAATGTGGAAATATGTGTAACATGATTGTACGTGTGTAACTTATATCAAATTGCTTGCTGTCTCGGGAGGGGAAGGGAGGGAAGGAGGGAGGAAGAAAAATTTGAACTCAAAATTTTACAAAAATGAATGTTGAAAACTATATGTGTAATTGGAAAAAATGCTATTAAGAGGAAAAAAAAAAGAGCTATTCCCTGGACCAGGTAGGAGCATCTCTTTTAAATTAATCACTCAAATAGTTTGTTAGTTGCAAATAGTCCTTGATTAAATTGAAGCCAGTGAATAATTGGGTGAATTGGAATTCAGATGGGCAAGAAGTATACTTCTATCAGGCAGCTAGGTGGAGCAGTGGATAGCAGTCTGGGCCTGAAGTCAAGAAGACATCTTCCTGAGTTCAAATCTAGCCTCAGATACTCACTAGTTGTGTGCCCCTAGGCAAGTCACTTAACCTTTTTGCCTCAGTTTATCATCTGTAAAATGACCTGGAGAAAGAAACAGCAAACCACTGCAGTATCTTTGTCAAGAAAACCCCAAATAGGACCACAAAGAGTTAGACACAACTGAACAAAAACATGTTTGGATTGGTTCAGGGATTTGATCATTCCCTGTTGGACTTAATGGCAAGCTATTTTAGAATTAGGAATTAGAGTGTCCTGAAGCTTAGTGGTAGAAGCTCCCAGGAAAGCCTTGGAGAAGTAATCCCTTGGGGGAAGGAGAAGATCAACTTGACCTTAGTTTAGGTCTTCTCTCCTACTCCCTTGTCTGTTTGCATGTTAGCTCCCTCTTTAGATTGTAAGCCCCTTGAGGGTAGGAACTGTGTTTTGCTTTTTTTTTTGTATTTTGTACCTCCAGTGCTTAGCGCAGTGCCTGGCATGTAATAGGCACTTAACAAATGTTTTTTGAATTGATTGGAGAAGGATTTTGGGAGAGACTTTAGATTTTTTTTATTGGCATCCTAGTAGTGTCAACAGTAGTGACAACAGGGGCTGAAAAGTGTCTGTATCAGGAGCCAAAGATGTCCTCTTCCTCTCATTTCAGGATTTTAGAAAAATGAAAAGTAGGTATTCATAGAAAGGTTGGAGACCCCTAAAAACAGACAATAATTTGTAACTAAAGATTCATTGTTAGAATTTGAATGTTACTTTTAAAGTCTCTTAACATTTCCTGTTTACAGTATTAATTTGCTTAGATAATATTCCTTGCTCTCATATCTATAAAATCCTATTGCTAAACTTCTATATGCTGAGACTATTTCCAAATCAATACATTCTTCATAATTAAATCTATACAAAAAATGGTCCTTGGACCATGCAATGTAACAATAATTTTTTTATTTAAAAAGTTGCCAGAGGTTTTTTTTTACTGTATGTGAGGAGGAGAGATAGGTTGAGTAGTCAAGTTTTTTAAATTTATTTTTGGTTGGGCAATGGTTAGTAAGTGTTATGTATCTGAGCCTGGATTTGAACTCAGGTCCTCCTGAATCCAGGGCTGGTGCTCTATCCACTGCGCCACCTAGCTGCCCCCAGTTTTTTATAATTTTTGACTCTGTCATTAAGTGACAATTATTCTCCATCCTTCTTGCTTCATCCAAATCGTGTTAGGAAAGCCCACTTACATAGCAGTCACAAAATAAAATCCACAAAGACCCAGGAACTAGGATGAGAGTTTGACACTTCTGCCCTTTGCCTGCTTCAAATTATTTCTTTTCATTTGTTAATTCACTATAGTGAGTCACCATTAGGGACTTGAGCAACTAATTCCTCACCCTTCATCTCTATTCTGCTTCAGCTAGGAACCTGCTCAACAATGCTCTGGACTTCATTACTACTCAGAATTCCATCTCCTTGTAATTCATCTCTCCCACTCCCCAACTCCTACAAAACTTGTCTTCCTTCCATCATTACCTGAATTTTAATCATTCAACCCTTCCCTCTTGTCTTAGATCATTACTCCCCTCTTGCCTACATTGAATTCCGTATTCAACCCTGAATTCCATGTTTAGCTGCTTTATTGCTGTCCTCACCTAGATCTCTCAGTCCCCTGATTTTTTTTTTTAAAACTCTGCTGTGCCAACCCCTGCCCTTGATCACCTTTATTGCCTGCTATTTTTTACTCTTATTTTTTAGGATGCTTGCTTCTTAGGAACAAGGCAAACCTGGTCTGTTATGAATTCATGCTCCTTGTTAATGAATTCATGCTCCATGTTCAGTGCTCTTTATAAATCCATCTGATTAGTTCCTTAGGGCACTACCCACAGAAGTTGTTCTAGACTCCTCCAGTTCTTAAACTCTCAGCTTATCTTCCTTGAAACACCACCCCTCAACATATCTCCAAACCTCCTAATTCATGTGGAACAGGATTGTTCAGAAGGGCACACCTGATTTGCTGGACTAGAGCATTTCCTATGGAGCTCAATTCTAGAGGACATTTACTTTGTCAGCAACTTCCTGATTGATTCCTTGGTCCCTGTGGCTGGGGTGCATCAAAGGCTATGGAGTCAGGAGGAATTCAATATTCTTGCTTCAATAACTAAGAATTCTAGAAAGGCTCCACCCTCTCACTTTTGAACCTATCACTTGGAATTCTTCCAACTCTCTGGACTTCTGTGCAGAAGCGGGAAAGAAGTTCCCTCCCTTCCCCTCCCCTTTTAGCATCAATAGAAGATACTCATATGTAGTAGCAAGAACATGTGTTTCCCTAGGCAAGCCTGAGCCTAGACCTCAAGTCTGGTTACCAATTCTGTTTTGTGTGTCTTTCCATGATCACAAGTGATTGAATAATGATCTTAGAGATTGATGTTTCCAGTTTCAGTGACTACCTTGAGTTCAAGGAAGCTTGGGTTCCAGAGTCAGTGCTGCCTGCCCAGCAGGAGGTGCTCCTTAAAACTATACTGCTTCTTAGAGGAAATAATGACCATCAGTTGCATCACTTTGAGCCTGGAGGGATTAAAGAACCACGTCTGGCTGTCCAGAAGATCTGGACTTTAAGTTACATAGATAGTACAGATCCTAGATGAATAGGAAACATCTGTTCAGCAGTCTCACAAAGTTGTTTTTACTTCCCAGAAAAGATTTCTCTCTCTTCTTTTTTCACCTTTATTCTATAGCCCATCCATACCTTCTTATCTTCTCTGGAACCTCAGTTAAACAACTGTCCTTTCTCTTTTTATAGGCCCTTTCCCTTCTTTGGCAAATGTGGACCAGCCTTCCCTAGCCTGAAGAGTGGAAAGCCAGCCAACCAACCATCCAAAAAACCAAAAGAAAACAAAAATTAAACCACTGCTTGATTCTTTAGCACCTGTGAACTAGGTACCATACTCCCCCCATCCCCTTGTGCTGTTAAACTCCTGAAATGTGTAGCCTATATTCACTGATTACTTCCTCTCCTCCAAATTACTTATTAACCCCCTAAATCTTACCCACCTCCCTTCATAGCTACTAAAATTGTTCTTCTGAACAATTTTCTTCTTCTTTCCTTCTTCTGACTTCCTTTCTCAGATTCCTTCCAACCCTATCTCTCTGGATCTAATTTTTCACCTCCAGCCCGTATTTCTAATACTGTCAAACATATGAAGTAGATGTCTTGCTCAAGTTAAACATATCTAAAACCAAGCTTATCATTTCTTTCCTCTATTTCCCCCTATATTCCCACCCCACAAACAAACAACCCTGAGTAGTTTTCACCAAGTTCTATTTATCAGTGACAGATTTTGGAGTCAAGACTGAAGGACCTAGGTTTGATTCAAGGCCATGCCACTTATAACCTTTATGGCCTTGGACAATTCATTTCATTTCCCTGTTTCCTCATCTGTAAAATGATGGTGTCAAGTGATCTGTAAGGTTACTTCCAGCTCTAAATCCTGTGACTTCATCATTATCTCCTTTCTGCCTCAAATGACTCAGACTAATAGGTTAGCTGCTTAGGGTCTTCACCTTTTTAAATATATGTTGCAAACAGCTGTTATCAGGTTTTAGTGATGCCAGGACTAGAATCCATGTCCCTTCATTTCTAGTTT